TACAGTACAGTACAGTACAGTACAGTACAGTACAGTACAGTACAGTATAGTACAGATTGGACACACAAGGAATTCGTCTTGGTGTAAATACTCAGTATACATAAAGAAAAGATACATTCGTTAAGAATCAAAAATCATAACATACAACACTTAATGATAGTCATAGGGTACAATAAACATCAAATCATACTAGAAAACAGTCAATATAAATTTTAAGGATACAAGCGATAAATACATCGTAAGGATGCAAGCGATACAATCACAAGTGGGAGGGGATGGGTGATAAGGAGTAATGAGAAAATTAACAGTAATAGTAGTGCACACTTTGTAAATAGTTGAACAGTGTTGAACAATTATTTGTTTAGTAGAGTGATGGCCTTTGGGAAAAAACTGTTCTTGTGTCTAGTTGTTCTGGTGTGCATAGCACTGTTTGAGGGAAGAAGTTGAAGCAGTTTATGTCTGGGATGTGAGGGGTCTGTAAATATTTTTACAGCCCTCTTTTTGACTTGCGCAGTATACAGGTCCTGGATTGAAGGCAGGTGGGTAGTAACTGTTTTTTCTGCAGTCCTAATTATCCTCTGAAGTCTGTGTCTGTCCTGTTGGCTTGCAGAACCAAACCAGGCAGTTATAGAGGTGCCGATGACAGACTCAAAACTGAATCAACAACTCCGTGGGCTGTTTGAGCTTTTTGAGTTGGCGCAGAAAGAACATTCTTTGTTGTGCTTTTTTGACGACGTTTTTGATGTTAGGTGTCCATTTTAGGCCGTGTGATATAGTAGAACCTAGAAATTTGAAGGTCTCTACTGTTGATACTGTGTTGTCTAGTATTGTAAGAGGTGGTAGTATGGGAGGGTTTCTTCTAAAGTCTACCACCATTTCTACGGTTTTGAGTGTGTTCAGTTCCAGATTGTTCCGGTTACACCATGAGGCAATTTAATTCAAATTTCTCTATATTTGCACCGATTCTACTGGTAGAAAGTTGAGAGAGAAAGGCCATCACCACCACGACTTTGGGGTTTGAGTTCACATGTGTCTTTATCCAGCTTCAGGTATATCTAATGCCACCCTTTTGATATATTTCTTCCAGATTTGCAATTGGTTCATCAATGCCAGGCGCAGACTTCTCCCTGATATGCTGCTAAAGGATGGCAAAGACCCCAACCAGTTCACCATTTCTCGCCGAGGCACCAAAGCCAGTGATGTAGCACTTTCCCGTGGAGCTGCTGCAGGTTCTGGACTCTTGATGGTGCCTCCTGCTGCTGCCGCTTCTGCAGCCACTACATCTAAGGTCCTCTCCATGTCTGTGTGCCCACCTGTGATCTGCCAGACTTCCCAGCCACTGGCTGGCAACTTGACTGTGACCGGCGACCTAGAGAAACGATCCATGCTCCAGCGGATTGAGCTGGAATCCCATACCAAGCAGTCGCAGCTGAGTGCAACAGGCAACACGCTGGCTCTTCTCACCCGGGCAGAAGCCTCCAGTCCCACCAGTGGACTCTTCAACACACCTCCTCCAACACCACCTGAGCTCTTCGGAGAGGACTTCAGCAGCTTCCAGTTGCTGGTGGAAGTGGCTCTGCAAAGAGCAGCTGAGCTTGACTCACAGAAGCTGAGTGGGCAACTGCCTCCATCGCCACAGAGAGAATCTTCTCCGGCAAAAAACAAGTAACTTCCTGCAGCCTCCGGTTACCCCTTGGAGGGGCAGCCTTTTCATTTTTCCAGGGTTTCTTTTCAGTTGGCTTTTGCAGCGAGAGCTCCCATTAGAAGTTAATGCTGTGATACGGTTTCTTGTCAAACCGGGAACCATTATGATGGAAGCCTCCATTCTCCTCTATGCTGCCAGCTGACCTTGGATACAAGGCACCCCCTCCCCCCATCTCTACATAAACATTTCCCTCAAAGGAGGGCACACTACTTCATCCTTTGGGTTGGCATCAGGCTATGGAACCAGTCAGTATCTCTCTGAAGCTGACCGGAGGAGATGGTCTGTTCAGGCAGTGGTTCCTGGCTCTACGCTGTTCTTGGAAGGGCTCCAATCTTGAACATCTTCTGAGAAGATGTAGTTGCTGGTTGATGTTTTTATAACGCTTGACTCTTTTTTTAAAAAAAAGATATGTTGTGGAGGATTTAGACAATACTTCTTACCTCCTTCCTGTCCCCTCCCTCTTCCCCAGATTTCCAAAGCTTACTGACATGGACTAGGATGAGAAATCAGTCCAAAGCAATTTCTCAGAAACAAATACTCCCCCCCCCCTTCCCTTTTGATAACTGAAGACAAGCAAAGAGCTATTTCACCACCCTCGGCTTTTTTTTAAATACCGTACATACTTTTAATTTTAATTTCCGGTGGGCGGGGTGTTTATGTTCCCCTCTCATTTTCTTTTAAAGCTGTACCATGTTGTAGCCTATTGTTGAATTGGTGTGAATATGTGGCTGGTCCTTAACATCACACCTGATGGGAGTCTCCCATAAGTAACAAAAGAATCTTTAAAGATTGTGGCGTTCTTCTTTCTTTCCGTTGGACAGGAAGAACAGCTGAGCATCACCTTGTGAATATGGTGCCAGTAAAAGAAACTAAAAAAGCATTATGGTGGTTTGGATGATCCGCTTTAGGTGCTGGCAGAAATTTAGCTGTTTTTTTATATGAGAGGGCATTTCAAAGTTGTGAAGGAGTAAGAAACTTAAAAAACAAACACAAAAATTCTCAAATGTGAAGTTGCTTTAAACGATGCTTTCTCCTTTTTAATCTTGGACATGAACTGTATCTCTGTGTGACTTTGGGAATCTTGGTGCATCCCTGACAGATGCGCTGACAAAACTACCTATACAAATCAACAAGAATTCACTCTGACTTGGGTATTTCTGTATCCTTGCTTTCATCATGCTGAATGTAGTTCTCCTTTGCTGATGGAGCAAGGGTGCCCTCTCACGGACAAGAAGGGAAGTCAAGCAGATCAGGGCTTCCATTCTACTAGCGATTCTGATGATCACTCACTCCCATGTGATGTTCATATGTCTATAGTCTCGATGAACCCAATAATCACTTATTATTCAAAATTAGAGAAAAGGGGTACACTTTAGGTGGAGGGAAATCAAGGCTTGTCTGTTGATCGCTTAGAAGACAGTAAGAATGCATCCTTCTTTTCAAATAGCTTTTGTCCTGAGTTCAAAACCTCACATAAGAATGGCGTACCCTGGGTGGTGGTAAGGTCACCCACCTCTCTTTTGAATAGTGCTGTTTCACTGTAAATGTAAGTTAAATAGTGATCTATTATATACACCTATATATCTATCTTGAGAAACACTAATGTTAGAGGGTGTTAGCCTAATTATTATGTTGCATGAATAGTAAAGATAAAAGCCCAGCAGAACACAACTTTTTCTCAGATAATCTTTGAACCAGGCCTAGAAGCCGGCGATTGATTTTGTGGTAGATTTGGGGAGGAGAATAAATGGTTTGTAGGAAAATTAGAGCCCAAGTGGGAAGCCTTATGGCTTCTATCAGTGTTGAGAGTGCCTTCCCCCTCAACCTTCTCCTCTTCCCCTGGAAAGTGCTACTAAAACAATTAGTAGAAACCCACAATTGCTGCTGGACACAGCCTTGTCCATTCCTTTCTCTTTTGGGGTGCTCTTTGACCCTTAGCCCCATGTCATTGATGGGATGTAGCAAACTGTGCCATTTCAACCCAAAGTCATCTTTAAAATAATCCAAAGGTGCTTTTAAGGGCCCCTCCTTCTGTTATAAAGCCCACAGAGCTGCCTTGGAAAAAGCTTAAGCTATTCATTTATTGCTACTTTGTTTGAGGGCATTCATCAGTCTTGTGTCAGTTTTCATCCTTAATTGAATTCTGGATGGTGAACGTATCAGTCCTTTGATCTCTTTTTCAAATCCTTTTAAAAGGAAACCCCTCAAGGTTTTCTAGAATGTGCAGCAACATTTCATTTTCTTATTGTTTGGAATTGGGCATTATTTTAGTGTACTATTGAAATGGAAATTCCTTGAACAGCTGTGTCCCAGGTCCCTCTTAAATATACCTTTGGCTAGTAGCGTACTTGACTTTAATGGTACATACATCACTGATTTCCTTTAGAGTGGGACCAGTGTGATTAAATAATACACAGGATATCTAATGGGCTGTACCAAGTGCCTAAACAGATTTGAAACTTTAGTATAAAAGAAAATTTAAAATCCAGTTCCTGCAACGCGCTGCTCTTTGTTATACTGCTGTACTTTGTCCTAATGATGCAAAGATATTGTTTCAGGTGGGATGGGAACTTTGCAAGAGAGAAAATATTCTTTTGCTTGAACTTTATGGAGCAGAACTACTGTAAATAACTTTGGAATTTTTTTTAATCAATAAAGGTTTTTTTAAAAAGATAAATTGCCTAGCAAGTGCATTATCTTCAGTTCTGATGTCTGAATTGGATGGTATGAAATTGGATGGTATGAAAAGATTTAACTTTAGCATCATTTTTCCTTTTGTACAATAGACTTTAAAGTGATAGTAGCGGCATCATAAGATGCAGCAGGCTAAATCACAGCTATGTTTCTGGGTTCTATAAAATACTTGTGCATGTTTCTCAAAATTCTGTAGTTCTGAGATTAATTTTGGGAAGCACACAGCCTGGAGGGGAGGAAGGATCAAGTGCAGAGTTAGCCTGGAATTCCTGTGCAACTGCAAAAGCACTTAGGGCTGACATCTATTCCCCTCCTCCCGAGTTCTAATTATTCAGAGATTGGGGAGATTCCTGTATTATAGGCAGAATATAATAAAGTAGTTAGCTGGAACTCTGCATGTGTGGGTCTGGTTGGTTGTGCCTGACAATACTATGTATGGAAAACTTTCCTCAGAGCCAGGGGAAATAGATCTCTGCAATCTGAAATTTCTATGAAATTAGCCAGATAAATGATTATTTTTCTGGAGAATTAACTGTTCTCCAAAACTGGAACAAATATTGCTTCTTGTAGCCACTTCGTCTAATTTGCTCTATTCATTTCTCTGTGAGGATAACTCACCTTACTTGACCTATTTTGGGGACTGGTGTAATAAGAATTGAGAAAACAACTGTAGACTTTGATGGGTGGAGAACATCTGGTGCTGCTCTCAAATGAAAGATTAGTATTACGTATATGAGCAGACTAGCTGAGTTGGAGATTTCTCATCCAGGCCAGCTGTTTCCCAACTGTCTTAACTGATTTCAATGAGATTCCAGACAATTCTGTTATCCTTTGATTAGTGACTAACATTTGCTCTTATGTTCATGTGTTTTCTTAATGGATATAATCATCTTACACAGGCAATCCCAGAACATAAATACATATCTCACATAATGTGCATGTTGCATAGCACCTAATGTTTTTTTAAAAAAACTTGAGATGATCTCATGAATCTTGGCATTAAAATTCTACTGGGAACAGTTTCTTTCATTGTAACAAAGTACAGGGTTATTGATAATGCTTGAAGTATTCAGAAAGTAAATCTACATTGTGTTTCTAGAATTCTGATGTAAAAGTGGAGTAGAAAAATACGTATCCATGCAAAGTAGGTCTACTTTATGTTTCCAGTATTCTGTTGTAAAAGTGCAGTGGAGAAAATATATTTGCATGACATTTGTAATTATTGTGTTTTAAGGAAAGTGAATGGGTGGAAAAAAAGAAAGGTGGTACAAGGCAACACAAATCAGTAAGTGTCCACATGTTATGATTGTTCTACTTCACTCGCTTGTACAGATGTGATATATAGGGATGGATTCAGAAGCCAAACTAGTGTAATTCAAAGAAGAGTTACAGTCAGAAATATCCATAATAAAGAAGCTGTTGTTGATTTTTCTACTAGCAAGATAGGTAGCAGAACAAGGCATTCAAATTCAAACAGTTTTTTAAATCTCTCAAAGAAAAATGTCATTTATACAAAGATATTAACACCAGGATTTCCTCTGGGACAATTCTTTTGCAAAATTATTGTGTTTTGGTTCATTCACTTATAAGAGACTAAAATCAGTCATTGAAAAAATTCTCTAAAGCCTTTGAACATTAGTACACAAGAGGCAAGTATAATTTAGCTCCATGTGGACTCTTAATATAAACCTTTATTGCCTTCTGTTGATTATATTCATTTCTTCTTAATAAGCACTCCAGCTGAGTTTGATCAATTTGCAGTGTTTATGCTGCATTGCAATTAATTGTATTTATGCTGTTTGCACATATGAATGTGATTTGTACCTACCATTTAGCATTAAGATCATGGTAATCAGTATTTATCAGGAAGCATTTCCCAGAAAACGATTTACCATCATGATTGGAGACAAGAAGGGTTTTAATTTTGGATAAAGTTCTGTATACAAATACAATCACAAAGGAAGAACTTACTTTTCTCTCCACTAACGGTGACTATTTACCAATTTATTGTACAGAATATAGATGGGATAACTATTTAATCTATGAGAAAAAGTAGCACAGCCCTTTTTGAGCCTGTTCGAGTAACAGATTTATTGTTTACTATCCAAGAGAAAAGATTCTTTACTGAAGTTTTGGCATTCTAGGTCAAAGCCAGCAGCTTGTCTACTAGATCAGTACTTTTCTACCTGTTACATCACCACCTCTGATTGATTTGATCATATATACTAAAATATGCAGAAAATTATTGTGGAAAAACTAAATTGGGCACATGCACACCCCAGCATTCTCGCTGATACCAGCAAGAAAGCATATATCACAACCTATTTCTGACCATAATGAGCTGTGGGTCTGACTCAGGCTGACACAACTATGAGTCTGACTCATTTTGGAAAGAAATTCATTTGCAAGGATTGATTCAAATGAGGCATCTGTAGAGCCCTTACTAAAGTGTTAATGAATAATCCAGGATTTTGTTCAGCTTTGCCAATTCTGCCAAAATCTGGATGTTATTTGAGCCTTGTCCTTGTGACATTTTTATCATACCTGAAAAAATTATTAAAGTAACTTTAGGAGAGAGGTGTGGGGGCAGAGCACAGAACAAATGGCCCAAACTTTCTTACAGACTAGGACTGAATATGTTTTTTAAATGGAAGGATTTAGAGAGCAGGGGTGTCAAATTGGCAGCCTGCGGGCTGGATGCATCAGGTGCAGGCTATGTCCACCCCAGCTCCGCAAATGGGAAAAACATGAAACATCAAGTGACGGCAGTGTGACACTGAGTTTGACACCTGTGAAGTAGTATTATTCACTGTCTTTCAGTCTCCCTTTTAGCCACCCACACCATGCTTACAGTCAACTTTCATGCATTTGTTTTCAGCATAAACATGCAAAAGAAAAGCAAAAATAAATGAAATGAGACAGGAGGGAGAAGAGGGGGAAAAATAAATCTAGTTTGTACCAAGACCATTTGTCTAACTACTCAATGCCTTTCTATTCTGAAAACCTATCGTTCCAGAACTACGCCTGTATACCTCTTCACATGATTTTTAAAGATTTTTCATCTTTCTCATCTACTCGATCCAACCATAACTTTCTTAGTTACCCCCTTATCTTTTTTACTCTTCCCATCTCCATTTTACAATTCAATCCACCTTGTTTAAAGAGCTATAGTGGCACAGTGATTAGAA